TAAAGGATACAAATTAACAGCCAGATGAAGAGGTATATAGGGTGAAATCTGGAAAGGTTCCAAGCACAAGAACTTCTGTCCCCATGGAGCTGAGGTGTGCCACTCTCCTGGCACGTAGATGTGTTCACCAACTTGTGGCTATTGTCAAAACCTGAAAGCTCTCCAAACTTTGCCATTTAGGGGTTTTCACAGAGGTCTCATTAAATAGTTATGATTGCTTAAATCACTGGCCTTGGTGATTAGCTCAACGTCCAGCCCCTCTCCCCTCTCCAGAGATTGACGGAGTAAGGCTGTAAATCTCCACCTTCTTAATCATGTCATGGTCTTTCTGGGGACCAGTCCCATTCTTAAAGTATCTAGGGGACACCTGCCACCAGCCATCTCATGAGCATACAAGAAACACTCTCATCACTACAGAGATTCCAAGGGTTTTAAGAGTTGTGTGCCAGAAACTGGAGACAAAGATTAAATATGTATTTCCCATGGTACCATACCTACAATCAAATTCAATAATCTCCAGTAGGAATTACCCCAAGGTCAGGTACATAAGTTAGCATGTCTATAAAGGTGCTTTGCACATGACCTACACATAAATTACTTCTCAGGAATTTCCTAATATATTTCCAAATTTCTATCTTTGTTTTCTCTAAACTACTATGTTGAATGCTTATTTTATTTTCACTCATTCTTTTTCACCTAAACTAGGAATTCCTAACTCTACCAAAAAAAAAAAAAAAAAAAAAGGAGATAAACTTTGGAACATCAGCACCAAAAGATATCTTGGCTGAGTCTCCAGTGATGCACAAGCAACAGTACAGAGAACACATGACTAGAGAAGCACATTCAATATTATATAATTCAGAGCAATGAATTTTTTAAAACTGGCTTTATTCAAAATATTCAAACATTCAGGCAGATGTCCAATAAAAAAGGATAACTAGTTAGAAATAAATCCATTAGCTTTAATATAATCCAAATAAAGCACAGAGCATTAAATCAATATAATACAGAAAAAATCTTAAAATACTTTAAGAGAGTTGAAAGAAATTATTATAAAGGGAAAAATTTTCTTTTTATGTACCTTTGAACAAAAGACATTAAACAAAATTGAAGTCCAGAAGAAATAATTGCTCTTCCATAAATTAAGTGTTGAAAAAAAAATTTAATTACGCTTGAGGGTTTCAAATGAACAAAATTGTACTAATATATTTTTTATTTATCAGTTGTTTCCTGGGGCAGATTACATTTTTTTTTAAAGCTACTCTCCAAATTTCAATAATTTTCTCAACTTCTCTGTTTGAATGCTTGCAACACAAAGAATCATTTTTATTTATGTGGCTTAATAGTACCCCAATATGAAGATAATTTTTTTTTATTCCAAGGTAACCAAGCTATTGGAGAAGTTTTTAACTGAAATTGCCCTGTCATGCTATTCACACAATTGCTACTTAGAGAGTTCAAGCAAGATACAAATTTGATTAAATTATTGTTACAATTTTCAAATCAATTAATTGAAAATATCGAAGTGAATAAATGAGATTACAGGTGAAACTATTATAGAAGAAATAAATGTGACTTTGACTACTTTTTTCATTTACTATGCCCCATTTCTTTTTTTTTTTTTTTTTTTGAGACGGAGTCTCGCTCTGCTGCCCGGGCTGGAGTGCAGTGGCCGGATCTCAGCTCACTGCAAGCTCCGCCTCCCGGGTTCCCGCCATTCTCCTGCCTCAGCCTTCCGAGTAGCTGGGACTACAGGCGCCGCCACCTCGCCCGGCTAGTTTTTTGTATTTTTTAATAGAGACGGGGTTTCACCGTGTTAGCCAGGATGGTCTCGATCTCCTGACCTCGTGATCCGTCCGTCTCGGCCTCCCAAAGTGCTGGGATTACAGGCTTGAGCCACCGCGCCCGGCACCCCATTTCTTTGTAAAATATTTTATATTTTTCTGAAAGCTAAAATACTCATTCTACTTGGAAAAAGCTAAAAACTCTATTAAACAAAAATAACACAATTGTTTAAAATTTAATTAAATAATTTTTCAAAGTAGAGAAATATAGATCCAAATGTATTCTACAATTTACATTTACTCAACACGCAATACTAATATATATTATTATTCAACATGTCCATATTCAATAGTAAAGTCTTGACACTAAGCAGAATTTTGGAAATTATAAACAGTTTTAATTGTACACTAATTAAAAAATCATAAACTACTAGTTTGGAAAAGGAAAAAATTACAATAAATTTTAATTGTGAATTTACACAGGTATATTTACTTAATTTCAATGAATTGGCTGAAAATTAGAGTAAGCCAAATGATTTAGGTAATAGCTATATTTTCAATATCTGTCTGTGGGGAAGAAAAAACAAAATTCATTTAGTTTTAAACATGTAAAAAATGTTGAATTTGAGAGTTTTGTAGAAGATCTTGGTGGAAATACCGAGTAGGCAGTTGGATACACTGATTTAAAGCTCAAGAGAGAGGTCTGGGTGGAGATAAGGTCTGAAAATCATCATCATATACAGCAACTGAAGCCACAGGGATGGGTGAGCTGAAGAAAGAATTCTGGAGGAACATAAAGATGTGAGAGCTGACAGATAATGAGGAATAGTTCCAGAAATCTAAAAAACAAAACAGTGTGAATGGTAAAATGAGAACAAGGAAGAAATAGCATTATCAAAGCTTTAAAGAAGTTAATCGAGTTGTGAAAAATATTCACTGAATTCAGCAAACAGGTTAACAGTAGTAATCTTATCAGAAGCAGTATGAGTAGATGAATGGAGCTAGAAGCAAAAATGCTAGAGCAGGTAAGAAAGTTCAGATTGGAGGCATGGATTCCTAATTTATTTTTTACAAAAGAGAACATACTAAACACCTATTTAATGTGCCAGGCATTGAGTTCGGGTATAACGAGATGCTAGGCACTGAGGATATACTGATGAGCAAGACAGCCCTCACAGCATTTACACTCTGCCAGGGAAGACCAATGATAATGTTGTCAGTAGGGGATTTTAACTGCATGCAATAGAAACGTTCGCTTAGTTTAAACCTAAAAGGAGATGTTGGATGGCTCACAGAATTGTTGGGAGGCTGAAGAAACAGTTCAGAAGCTATGAAATGAAAAAGGAAACCATCGAATATGATGCCACAGAACTAGTTCAGTGAAGACCTACCTTATGGCAGCCACCACGCAGCAATAGATACTACAATTTGCACCACTAATCTCACTGGCACTAAACAACAGGTGATGCCTCAAGCTTGAGTGCTTGTCCTTCCCTCTTCCCCTAACTACCCAAAGAAAACCACTGCCAGGAAGAATTATCAGCTGCTTCCATTTATTTATTTGTATTACTAATTCATAAACTCAAAAGTGGGGCAGATACTTCTCACTGGCTGAGTCTAGATCATATGTCCATGGCCTGGCTACAAGGGAAGCTGGAGGAGTGAGTACACAGTTCTTCCTCTGGGGAGGCAGTGGGGAGAGCTCTGCCTCCTTACAAAACTACTCATAAGGCACAGAATTATCAAAGCACAGGACAAACCTCATATGAAGAACAGCTATATCAGCAAGTAAAAATACATAAGGAAGTAACTACATAACACTAACTTAAGAGAGATATTTATTTTTCTCTCACATAAAGGAGATATGGAGGACAAGACTCCAGGGCTCAAATGGTGACAGATCCATAATGATAAGGGATTCAGGCTCCTTCTATCTGACTACTCTGCTGTCCTTACAATGCCACCTCATGACCCAGGATGGCTACTAAAAGGCCAGCCGCACATTCACATTCTAGCCAGCAGGAGAAAAGGGAAGGGGAAAAGAAGAAAATGCCCTTCCCCTTTAGTGATACATTACAGAAGTCATGCTCAACATATATCTTACTGCCCAAAATTTAACCCTAAAGCCAACCTAGCTGTAACAGAAAAGAGTGAATGTAGTGATTTGCTATGTGGCAATATGTCCAGCTAAAAATTAGAGTTTTTATTACTGAAAGAAGAAGGGATGAATTATAATGCAAGGCAAATAGCTGCATAAGCCACAGCAAGCCCACAGTGAAAAGCAACCACTAAAATAAGATATGTAATAACAGAGAGTGGTAAGACAACTACAAAAAAGAACTATGAGAACATATAGTACACGATTCTAACCCAGTCTAGAAAATAGGGAAGGCCTCCCTGGGGAAGATGTATTTAGATGAGAAGTAAAGCATGAGAGGTTAGCTATATGCAAGAGTTGAATGCAGAAAGGAGAGAAGGAGGGGAAGGTAGTTAGAGACAAGCAAAACATGTGTAAAGGCCTGGTATGATACACAGAAACGGAATTGAAGAAGCTCGAGTGGGCTGAAGGATAGAGAGCAAAGGGAAGAGTAGAGTGAGATAATACTTGTCAGAAAGGCAAAGACCAGATACTGTATAATAATGCCTCCTAAATTCAGCAGCTTGGACTTAATCCAAAGGATGGTATGAAGTCACTGAATTAAAGCAACACAGTCATATAATCAGATTTGAAACTCAGAAATCTCACCAAGACCAGAGTGTGAAGCCTGGATTAGAGGAGATAAGGTTGGAGGTAGAAAATCAAGAGGTAGTTGTAGTTCAGGAGAAAGTGACAGATGATTAGACCAGGGTAGAGGTACTGAGGATAGAGAGAAGTGGAAGGATTCAAGAGCCTGTTAGAAAGTCTAATTGACAGGCAACCGAAGGAACATTGGGAGTAAGTCAGAAAGAGTTAAGCCTGACTCTCAGGTTTCTGACTTGGACATCTAGTTGGGGGTGGCATCATTTATTAAGACAGGAAATACTAGAGGAGATGTGGAGTTTTTTGTTTTGCTTTGTTTTGTTTTTTTAGAGGAAGGAGATAATTAGTTTCAGTTTTAACATGCTGATTCTGAGGCCCCGTTAAATATCTGATTGTAAGCTGCTGTTTTTGTCTGGAATCGGAACACAGGGAGAATGGATCTGATTTGTTTTAGAACAATCAGCACTGGAGCCATGAGAGTGAATTCCATGGCTTGAAGAAGTTGTACAGTACAACTAGTAATTAGCTGAGAACAGAGCTCTAATCAGCCCAATTACTAAAGAGATAGAAGAAAAACTACAAGACATTTTATTTCACTTCTCAAAGATTCTGTTTTAGTAGGACTGGTAGGTCCAAAATTTTGAAACTTAAAAAGTGACTTTAATTGATTTAGTTTAATTCTGATGTCACAGGTCAAGAGTATTCTAAGTATCATTGTTATAAATCTGTGCAGTCCAATGAATTAATCTCTTGAAATGCTCTTGAGGGAGGGGGTTGATTCCTTGGTGAGATTAGGAGATGTTACATACTATATGCTGCCTACTATACCCCTATACCTCTACTTTCCCTCTTGGAGAATCCCAGTGCACAATAGCAAATTAAATGCTCCAATAAGTTCTGTATTTTGTTAGATAACCTATTTAACTCTGTTCAACAAATTGTTCCCTAAACATATTTGGCTTCAGAATACATTTATCTTACAACACCTAAAATATTCTGTGATCTGAAAACACTGTTAGAGTTTTAACAAAATGTAGAAAATATTAGAATGTTGTCTTTCAATTTTCAATTTTTAAAAAAAAATGTAAGAAATCACTGTAAACCATGATGACAACAATAATAGATATGGATTAGTAGAAAAAAACACAGTAGAAGATTTACATGCCCCCTAGAAATGATAATGTACAAAGACACAAACAGCAGGAATTAAGAAACTCAAATAGAAGACACACTTAGGAAAATAAATAATAAGAGAAGAAAAACTAATAACACAGACAAGGAAGGCAGTTCATAAAAAGCCTTGGATGCTACAAAAGCAACCCTCATCCTTCAGGGCCCTAGTCAATATTTTTTCTACAGAGCTTAAAATATCTTCCTCTATGGAAGAGATAATAGAAAGAAACAAACCTGAAATTTGGAATGAGAAGGAGCTATGTTTACATTCGGGTTCTGTCACTTATTAACTAAATTAACCAGCCAATATGTGCCACAAATGGTTGATGAAAGTAATGATAAAGGTGGTAATAATACTGACTACCATTTATTGATCACTTACTACACACCAAGCCGTTTACATACTTATTTACTACTCACAATGCTTCAAGAGAGGTGGAATCATCCTCATTTTACAGGGAATGAAATTGAAGCTCAGTGCATTTAAGCAATTTTTCTAAGACCTTGAGATTGTTCTGAACATCAAGAAAAATAAGGTGTGGATGAACTATTCTAAAGGCTGTAAAGCTCCATACAAATTTTGGATGTTATTAAATAAGTATGTGAATAAATGCCTTTGCTAACTGTATACACTTGCTTGTTAATCTTTCTTACAAAAACTATTCTTTGTAGTAATATCAATTATCAAGGTTTGAGAGATGTGAACACCCATTCTGTAAGAAATAAATATTGACAGCTTCTTTCTACTATATTGTTCCAAAACCAGAGACTTAGTGTTACTAGTATTTTTGGAAGCTCTGGTGATTCAAATGCCTTGACCAAAATGATCATTAATTTTAAGTAAATAAAAGCTCAAGTTTCTATTACAATATTAACTAACTAGATGGTAATACCCATACTCCAATACATTCTCTAGACACATCCCTGGGAACAATACACTATGTTTTAAACATAGTTTTCTAATTAAAAGAATAAATGTACAAGCCCTATTGAAGCGAGAGTACATTTTATAGCCATATAGGATTTAGTATTCCAGTTGCTGGATTAAGAGTTCTAGGGGCTTAAGTGGACTATTCTGGGTCAACGCTATGAGTAATCCAGCTTATCTCAGAAAAGTTTTAACTTCTTTAGTATGTGTCTTTGATCTGAAACAGCTCCTTCCATGTCTCTCTCTATGACTGGTAGAGTTACGATGGTTATTCACCTGTAAAAGTGCCAGTTACCATGCTAGTTTGGAGAATTTCTCAGTGAGATCCCAAAGACCTAAAATAGTAGACTTAAATTTACTCAGCCTCCCATAAAATATACAAATATACATTATTTTCATGTTATTCCCTCTAAAAAATGTCTAAAACATCTGAAATCCTTCAGTTCTAATATTTAAGTCTCAAGAATGCTTTTATTCCCTTATATGATACTCCAGTAGATTTCACAATTAAAGCTTTTGAAATACTCCACATATTGAGTAGTTTACAGTTGGTTATCCACTATATGAGACTCTTGTATTATAAAAAAATCCATTTCAGTTTTTTAAGTATTATCCTTCACATTGGGTAGCACAATATATAATTGGAATATGGTACTAACTCACTGATTTAATTCACAGGAAATCATGTTTGCTATAAGAAAGTACATGAGATATATGAACATAGAAGGGATATCTGTAAGCCAATAGCAGAGGAAAAGAGAAAAAATAAAAACAATAAAGACAGAAAATTTAGTGAACACAGCCACATAGGATAAATAACATAGATGCGAATAGCCCAATAAACTTCAAAGGGCTATAAAGGCACAAATATTTTACAGGATAGGCAAGTAAGCAGTGGTCGTTATTACAGTGTAAATTATCATGCCACGTCTTCAAGAAAAAAAGAAAGGATACAAGCATCGGAGATGTTTACTAAAAGTACAGATTTTAGGGCTGGGCACAGCAGCTCATGCTTGTAATCTCAGAACTTTGGGAGGCCAACGTGGAAGGATCACTTGAGGCCAGAGCTTCAGGACCAACCTGGGCAACAGAGTAAGACCTCAATCTCTTAAAATAAATAAATAAATAAATAACGAGGCATGGTGGCACATGCCTATAGTCCTAACTACTCAGGAGGCTGAAATGGGAGAAGGAAGAATCACTTGAGACCAGGAGTTTGAGAATGCAGTGAGCTATGATCCTGCCACTGCACTCCAGCCTGGGTGACAGAGCAAGATCCTGTCTCTTAAAAAAAAAAAAAAAAAGTAAAGTTTTTTTTTTTTTTTTTCAAAGAAACCCAGCCATCCAGGACAATATTTTTATGGGGTTCAACATATCTGAATTCTGGTGTATTGCTATTTACATTTCACATAGGGCTGCCATAAAAATTAGTTATCTTATCCTAATCATGATGCCCCAAGGATATAACCCTTTATTTGATGGATAGTACCTTGTTTTATTCAGTGTACCAGAAAAATTTTACCTGGCTCATAAATAAAAAAGTTCTCCTTTTTTAAAATTTAAACTGGAATGGTAATAGTAATAAAAAAGAAACGTTTTTGCCATTTCAGCAACAAAACCTGAGACAATGTTCTTAGAATTCTAAGAGTTAAAAAACTTTAGAAGCAGTATATTCCAAAGGCCTTCTCAGCCAGTTTTCTAAAGTACAGAATGATCAATAAAAATCAGCCTGTAACTGTACCTTCCAAACGTCAATTGCAGAGAATCTGTGCATTCAGTGGAATGCCAAATAGTACTGGCAGACATTTATAGAAAGAGAATGCTATGTTTGCATTGTTCTGTTAATAGCATGCTAACAAGTGTATTTCCTGTAGAGTCACTAATGGACAGAAAAAAATATATAATAAAGCACTGAATAGTGGACAGCCATTCATGTTCTATTGGTCTACAGTTACTAGAGAGAAGAAAGAGTAAGTCCTATAATCTTAGGAGCTGTAAAAAAGAATCCTCTCTTGTTAAATCTCAAGAGAATCTGAAGAGGGAATAAAAGAGAAAAAAGTCAGACAGATTATGCTGTCAATTTTAGTTGTCATAATGTGCTTCAGAGATAAAACATTCCTCTGAATGGCAATTGAACAGATGGAAATTTTCATTTTTGGTTAACTGGATGGAAGAATTGGACCAGTACCTAAAATGACTTTGAAATGAAGCTCAAACCCCCTCCCACAAGAAGGAAACAGATGCATCACTCCAGATACAAAATAAATTATTGAACAGTGCATATATTATATTGGCATCATTGTATCCAACTGTACATCTGCACAATGTTTTAGTCTCCTGGTGAGAGAACAGACATTTCTGAAAGGGAAAATAGGCAACTATTGAAGTGAATCAGATAAGTAGATCATTTGGGTAAGAAAAGCCAAAGTAACACTTCACTGAATTTTGAAGTTATTCATGCTGAGGAGAAGAAAGAACCATAAATTATACTGATTCCAATGTCCTTGAACTTATACATTGAATTAAATGTAGTTGATTCTGAAATATAAAATGATGTTTTCAGGATTTTCGTAATCTTAAATCAGAATGAATAAGAAAAAATACGACTACTTAAGATCCTAAAGGTGTTAAGACTGAATATCCTCCTTGCTTGATCTAACAGAGAAGTAAGTGATACATTAAAGTAAAACTACAGTTCTTATTTTAAGCTAGTATTAGAGAGGACTCACAGAACAGGTAACTGAAAGAAGACTTGTTTGATGATTTAAAGTTAATAAGCAATCCTATGAGTTATGAACTAAGGAAAGAGTTGAGTTGAGCTCCTTTTGATTATCTGAAGTTCCACCTCCTATACTTTCTAACAATGCTGTCCTGGTTGGTCCTTTCACACAGCTCTCATCGTCATCTCTTGCTTATTGATAGAGCTGATCCATGTAGGTAGCTTGCACCACCCTACACTGCCACTCAGTTTTCCTATCAACCCTTTCCTCTCTTTCCCAACTCATTAAATCCTTAGTCCAGCTGCTAAGAAAATATGATGATACCAGTTTTAGAGGGCAAGTCAAATAAGAAGGATTTATCATTTTGCTTCATTTTTAAGGTGTAATATTGGTTGGCATTGGGCCAGCAGCATTGCTGTGTTATATAAGGTGACCATATAAGAAGGTTTGATCAGGGGATGTGGATGATGCCTGAGATGCCAAACCCTGAGGTTAGTACTTAAAAGAGAAAGAAGCAAAAGAACAAATGTCTTCAATATAAAAATATTTTATAGTTTAATAATAAAAATTCTGACTTTTTATTTATTAAGTTATTCATCACAAGGTTATAAGATTTTACTAAATACCTAAAGTCATAAAATATTTTCTGAGACATGACTTCTAATCAAACTACATTTAATAAGGATTCAGTATCTTAAAGACCAATTAAATTCTGTATGTCTTGACTATTAGAACAGCATAGGTGGGGAAAATACTTTCAGGGCAACCCTACAAAATACTAATGGACAGCAGACAGCACATAGGTGTGATGAATTATGAGTCTATATACATTGCTGCACAATCTTCACAATGGTTTTCCCTTCAGAAATAAAAGTTGTACGGGGAAATTATTCATTGCGTTCTCCCAATCATTTTTAAACACAGGCAAATGTGAAATAGTGAAGAGCTCATTAAAGATATAGAAGACAAATATAACCTAAAAGTAAAAGTATAAGGAGGTTGGGCCCACCTGGACTTATCAGTCAGAGAAAAGCCTTGAGGGGAATAGCTGTGGATGTGGGATAGGAGAAATAGTTAGAAGGTAATTGGGAAAGGGGAACTCAAGTTGGCTCCCTCGCTGGGGTGTTTCTGCCAAAGAAGGAGAATGAGAATAGAACCTTCAGGAATAGTATCATATGGTGGCTGGACTCCCAAAGAGAGTGCTGCTAGAAAAAGGCCATGGTATAATATGGTAATGATTCACAGATGAATAAGAGAAAGAAGTGGACCAGAAATCATATTTTGTACCTCTGCTTCATTCCAATGCTCTCTCTTATTTAAACTTAAGCTGTTCTATGGTTTCTAGGCATTCTATAACTTATTCTCTATTAGTATCTCTCAATGTTATTCTGTAATTAGTCTTATACTAATATGAGTGGAGATTTCATTAATTGATAACCTAAAGCAAACTATTTCAGAAAACATGCTACATATACCAAGTGCTCTATCTCCAGCGGTCACTGGTCATAAGACTAACAAAAGAGGCTGATGGACAAAGGAGCCAGGTGAAAATTCCTCATCTACAGGGCAAAAAGCAGGTAGGAGTTCCAGGTCTTCTTTTTTTTTTTTTTTGAGACGGAGTCTCGCTCTGCCGCCCAGGCTGGAGTGCAGTGGCCAGATCTCGGCTCACTGCAAGCTCCACATCCCGGGTTCACGCCATTCTCCTGCCTCAGCCTCCCGAGTATCTGGGACTACAGGCGCCCGCCACCTCGCCCGGCTAGTTTTTTGTATTTTTTAGTAGAGACGGGGTTTCACCGTGTCAGCCAGGATGGTCTCGATCTCCTGACCTCATGATCCGCCCGTCTCGGCCTCCCAAAGTGCTGGGATTACAGAGGTCTTCTTAAATGAGAACCGAAAGAGAGCCAAAAGGGTTAACCTGAAGAATGCAGTGTGTTTTCACTTCAGGTTAAGTCTGACTCTAAGTTAATTTCATTGTTGTTAGAGATAGATAATTAACAGTCTTATTTGGATATAGTATATTTTCTTAACAAACATAATATTAACATGCCATTTACTTACCATAAACATGAAATAAATTAATTCTAAATAAAGCATTTCTAAACATCGATAATATAGCTTAGAAAGTGTTGAAAGGTAACTTCTGAACAAACAGTACACACAGAAATCTCACGGTAAATCTGATGGGGGCTGGTTTTACCTCTGTAAGTGTAAAGCCTAAAATGGGACCGAGAAAAGCTGAATTGCTATTAATGAAACCATATGTGGCAAATGAACACTAAATCTACTCATTTTCTATCAAAAAAGAGCACCAAATACTAAAGCTCTTTTAATTCCCTGGTTCATCTTTTTTGTTGGGCAGATGATTACTACATTTTTAATACTGACAAATTCCATAGTCTGTCAACCACGGATCCTTAAACACTGTGAAGATTTTATTAAACTCTTCAGCAATCAATGATAACAATTTTAATTTTTTCCTCTATCATATGGTCTTCTAAAACTTTTTTATTTTGTCCATCAAAAGTCATTATGCAAATTCCAGACCAAAAAAAATTTCTCTCAATCTGGAATTCTAAACATTGTTAGTTTTTCTGATTTAGAAACAGTGAAAAACAAACACAAACAACAAAACCAAATCATACAACAAAGCAAAATAATAAGATATCTAATTTTTGGAGAACTTTCTCTAATTCCAGAATAAGGTACTCTGACTCCATAGCAAACATTTTCAAAAATATACTGTATGTAAAGGCACTGATATTGACAGCATTCATCCAAAGTACTAGCATAACTAGTTATTCTTTCTTAAAAACTTGAGGTAAAATCCACACAACATACAATTTACCATTTTGAAGTGTACAATTCAGTGGCATTTAGCATGTTCAGAACTACTCCCTTTGTCTAGTTCCAAAACATTCTCATCACCCCAAGAGAAAAACCCATGACTATTAAGCAGCCACACTGTTTTCTTCCTTCCCCGAATCCTGGTAATTTGCTTCTCTACCAGTGAATTTATTTGTTCTGGATATTTCTTATAAACGGAATCATACAATACGTGCCCTTTTGTGTCTGGCTTCTTTACTTAGTATAACATGTTCACAGGTTCATCCACGTGGCAGCATGTATAAATTAGTACTTCATTCTTTTTATGGCTGAGTAATATTCCATTGTATGTATATACCATATTTTGTTTAACCATTCATCCATCGATAGATGCTTGGGTTGTTTTTTGCCTTCTGGCTATTGTAAATAGTGAAGTTACAAACATTTGTGTATAGGCATTTAAGTATCTGTTTGAATTTTTGTATATAACTGGGAGTGGAATTGCTGGTTCACCTGGTAATTCAATGTTTAACTTGAGGAACAATCAAACAATCAATATCTAGTGGGAAGACTGCTCTGTGGAAAATGTATTTGAGACCTTTTATGCTCCTTATGCATCTGGGCTAACGTGTCGTTATTTTCACTCAACTTTCATTGGTCTTCTAGGATTTGAAATATACACAATCTACTACATTAGAAACATTTCCCCTCGAAGCCTCCAATTCCATTTTCTCTACCACAGTAAGTCGCTTCATGTTTCATAGCATACTAAAAGTGGAAGTTGGTACAGTGCCCTCAAATTCTCAAAAATTTAAAAATATATCTCTGAATACAATGGGTCTCCTACACGGAAAAAAAATCTCACCTTAACAACAAGTTATCTAGGCAAAAAATAAAATGAAATTAAAACTTATGAAAAATTGATTTAAAATTTTACATGGTTAGGTCATACCTTGAGAAGGCAGCCAGAGAAAGGTTTCATTTACTTTGTAGAATACAAAGTTGTTGGAAGGAGGAAAAAAAATGGAATTTTTACAGGAAAAAAGAATGATCACAGAGATTAGGGTTGAGTCATAGCATCTTTCACTCTGAAGAGAATACATGACTCAAACCCCATCACATTTTATAATTTATTCATTAATAGTCAAAGACCTTTGTTAAGTAAGTCTCTGATTCCAACATTCATGCCTATTAATGGGATAAAAATCAGTTTCATCATGTTGGGAAAAAATATAATCTTACAAGCCTACTCCATCTATTAATTTTTAAAAACTACATTATAAAAGGTTATCAAGCTACTATAGTTCCAAAATATCATTACTTTCTTTTTGCTACAACAATTTATTTGGAGGTTTCACATATCTGATTTCATAATTTTCAGAAACCAAATATCATTTGAATCATCTGTAATAATACATTCCAGAAACAAGAAAGTAATCATTAAATTTTTTTGTTTCTTCAGTATCAGTTTCTCAAAGGACACTATCAAATGTTACCAATAACAATTAGCCTTACTAAAATTAAAGATCTAAATTTGTTGGTTTATTTATTCATTCATTTAAGTTTACATTGCCCAAAATGTTCCTGAACATGTTAGCTTTTAGACAATTTAAACAGTACCTACAAATTTCATTTTGCTGGCTACAAACTTGACCAAGATTTATAGTTTGAGAATTCTAGAGTTTAAAATTTTGATTATTTTCTACCTCTAAAAGAAAAGATATAGGTTGGTACCACTTGTTGACTGGGAGGCACATTAGTGCTTTGCTGTCAATAATTTAGTAGGAAGCCTGGAAGGTGGCCAGTGAATCAAAATCTAGGATGATAAGCCTTTCCCCAAGATGGTAATACCTCATTTACAGTCAGCTATTTTACACACTTAAAAATTTTTGTCCTCTCATAAGCATATAAAGAAAGAATACAAAAGGGAGGGAATCCAAGCACAATGGAGGGAATTCAAGCACAGTGAAGTGAAGAACAGAAAAGCAGATCCTGAAAACATTTTATTTGTTTATGGGTGTAAAATAGCAGTCCTTAAACTAATTCAAAAAAGGAAAAATATAATTTTATTAGTTATGACTAATTATGCTCAATTCTTTTATTTTCTAGTTAAAAATCTAATGTCATATCAAATGTTGTGAAGACTTACCTTCCAGTTTATGAATCAAAGGTATGTTATACAAACAGAGTTTAATAAAGTTTTTAAATTCCATCATTAGCAGCATCTTTATCACACCTGTTTGATCTAAACAACCCCCTTATATGGGTGACTAAATTCTCACATTGGCTTTGACTCATTTTCCTTTCTTCTAGCTAACTTATTATTTTTACAGTATTTCCACTGTCTGTTATTTTACTAATGAAAACATCTTAGTGAAGTCATATACAGTTAGAAGAATACTCCACAATGGGGTCAGACAGACCTTTTTAATGAGTTACAAAAGGGACTGACTAGAAACTATAATGAAATCACCAAACCTTTATGTTGATAAACATAAGCCACATTTGTAACACACTATTTGGGCTACTGCTGTTAATATGCATCAATGCTTCTATTATAAAAACCATCTGTTTTCAGTTTGGTGAACTAGCTATAAAGCTTGATATTATTCTGATAAATAAAAGATTGTTTTTAAAAGGAAAGCAGGTGAGACAGAGGGTAGAGCATGATGGAGAAAGAGAAAGCTCCACCAATTGTCCCCCAAGAAAGGACACCAATTTAACAACCTTCTACACACACAAAAAGAAATACCTTCATGAGAACCAAAAATCAGGTGAGCTCTCATAGTACTTGGTTTGAACTTCATATCCCTTAAAGAGGGACTGAAGAGACAAAAAATCAGTCCTGAATTGCCAGGGCCACCCCTCCCTGACCTTAGCAATTGTATGGCACAGAACTCAGTGCTTTTCTGTTAGAACCAGAAAGCCAGACCAAACTGAGCTAAGCCCACCTTCAGAGGGAACATCAAAACCAGCCCTAGCCAGAGGGGAATCACTAATCCCAGCAGTTTGAACTTAAGTACCTGCAAACCTCACCACCAAGGCCTGTAGCACTGTGTCTCCAAGTAAGCTTGAAGGCAGTCTAGGCCATAAGGACTGCAACTCTCGGATGAGTCCTGGTGTTGAACTAGGCTCAGAGACAGTGGAATGGAAGGGCACAGTCCACTGTGGGGCAGCCAAGGGAGTGCTGGCATCACCTCTCCCCTAACCCCATGCTACACAGCTCCATGCTCCAAAAGAGACCCCTTCCTTCTGTTTGAGGAGAGGAGATGGAAGAGTGGGGAGGACTTTGTCTTACATCTAAGGTATCAGTTCAGCCAAGGCAGGACTGCACAATGATCAGAGTTGTGAGGCACCTGTTCCAGGCCCTAGCTCCCAGATGACATTTCTAGATACACCCTGGTCCAAAAGGAAACCCCCTGCCTTGAAGGAAATGACACATCCTGGCAGCATTCATAATCTGCTAACTGAAGAGCCCTTGAGCCCTGAGTAACCAGCAGAAACACCCAGGTACTACATTGAGGACCTTGGATGAGTCTCGGAGACTTGCTGGTTTCAGATACTAGCACAGCCACAGTGGGGTGGAGCACCAAGCAGGTTCTTAGACTCCCCAGTTCTAGGACTTGGCTCTTGGATGACATTTCTAGACCTACCCTGGACCAGAGGGGAGTCCACTGTCCTGAAGGGTGAGTCCTAGGCCAGACAGCATTTAACAAAAGCAGACTTAAGAGACCTTGGGCCTAAAAGAAACATCAGGGGTAGTAGTACTCCTTGTGGCCTGGGGTGGCAGTGGCCTTTGCAATTGGGAGGGACATTGGGAAGGACTGAATCTTGTAGTTTGAGTGCCAGCTCAGCCACAATACAATAGAACCCCAGGTAGACTTCTAAGGTTTTTCACTCTAGACCCTGACTCGCAGACAGTACTTCTGGACCTTGCCACTCTGAAGGAAAGGACACGGGCCTGGCTGGCTTTCACCTGCTGATTGAAGAGTCCCAGGGCCTTGAGTACACACAGGCAGTATGTAGCCAGGGAGTGGTTGCAGCAGGCCTTGGGCAAGATCCAGTGCTGTGTTGGCTTCAGGTTTGACCTAGTGTAGTCATAGTGTTCATGGCCATAGGGATGCTTGTTGCACTTCACCCCCGGCTGTAGATGGCTTAGAACAGAGAGACAGAGAGGTTCTATATGTTTGGAATAAAGAGAAGAGAACAAGAGTCTCTGCCTGGTAATCCAGAGAATTCTCCCAGATCGTGTCCAAGACCATCAAGGCAGTACCTCTACGAATCTGCAAGAACCACAGCATTACTGAACTTGGGGTGCCCCTTAAAGCAGATACAGCTTAGAACACAACACCAAGTCCTTTCAAATATCTGGAAAGCCTTCCCAAAAAGGACAGCTAAAATAAGTCTAAACAGTGATGACTATAATACCTAACCTTCCAATGCCCAGACACTGAAGAACATCTATTTGCATCAACACCATCCAGGAAAACATGATCTCACTAAATGAACTAAATAAGGCACCAGGTAACAATTTGGGAGAAACAGAGACATGTGACCTTTCAGATGATAATTCAAAATTGCTGTATTGAGGAAACTCAAAGAAATTCAAGATAACTCAGAGAAGAAATTCTATCACATATATTTCACAAAGAGAGTGAAATAATTAAAAAGAATAAAAATTCTGGAGATGAAAAATTCAATGGGCATACTGAGGAATGCAGCAGAGTCTTTTGACAGCAGAACTGATCAAACAAAAGAAAGAATTAGTGAGCTTGAATATAGGCTATTTGAAAATACACAATCAGAGGAGACAAAAGAAAAAAAATAAAAAACAATGAAGTAAGCCTATAGGATCTAGAAAATAGCCTGAAAAGGGCAAATTTAAGAATTACTGGCCTTAACGAGGAGGCAGAAAGAGATAAAAGTGGAAAATTTATTCAAAAGGATAACAACACAAAACTACTCAAACCTAGAGAAAGATATCAGTATCCAAGTACAAGAAGGTTATAGAACACCAAGCAGATTTAACCCAAAGAAGACTACTTCAAGACATTTAATAATAAAACTTGCAAAGGTCAGGGATAAAGAAAGGATCCTAAAAGCAACAAAAGAAAATAAACAACATACAAGGCAGCTCCAATATTAATGGTAGCGGCAGTCATCTGGAGTGGTTGCTGCCATCACCCAGTCCACAGCAGGGAAGCATGGCCAGGGCTACACACTCCACAGACCCTGCAGGAGCTGGGAAAAAGTGGGACCCCTGCTCCTTCCACATTGGTGGAGCGGGAGTTCCCTAGGTGCAGCTGCAGCTGCCCAAGTGACAGAGTTGTGGCTATGGACCCGGGCCTCCCACTCCTGGAGCAGACAGGAGCCACGCTTTCCCAGGTGCAGCTACAGCCACCCAAGCCACAGCTGCAGAGCTGGGCATCTGTGCACTCTCAGGAGACTGAGAAGGCTCCTCCTGCCCCAACAGGCTCAGAAGTGTCTGCTCCCACTCCAGGTGCCTGCTCCTATCTTGAAGCAAGTTTGGGACTGAGCCCAGGCACTGTCATAGCCTAGCTGGGTGTGTGCCATGATCAGGGCACTGCTGTTACCAGCCCCCTGCCACCTCGGCCCCCTCTGGACTTTGGGCACCAACGAGCATGGGAGGGAAGCCATGGGGGGCTGCGGGCAGCTCAGTGCTGGCCTGCAGGTGCCCCTTGGCATGAACAGCCTGGACAGAAGGGAGCAGGTCCCCAGTG